CTTTTCTCTCTGCAAGCTATTTCCCTCACACAAAAAATTGATTTTGTTTACACTGGGTATTTTTATACTACCTTTGCAGATCCAGTCTGACTAATGTATAAAGATTCCAGAAGGTAAAAAATCCCACATCCAGACTACATCCCGGAGCTGTAAGGGCTTTTGGGTAAGGATCCAGGTTTTGTTGGGACTTGGGCCCAGGTCTAGTCTCCATTATGGAGTTTGATAAATGCTCAGTGGCCAATGTCCTATCCACTTGAATGCAAGGATTAGTATAAAGCACATACTGTCAAGCAGTTTTCAAAACTGAAGTATGCAAAGGGTTTATTTTCCCCTAGAAACCAATGTTAAACTTTAACAATATTCAACATGGTCATTTATAATGGTCAATTTCATGGTGTTGTTTTTAATTATATAGAATGCCATCTCCTTAATTCAATCACTGATTAATTTGATCCCCCATTCAGTTGGATCATAACCTAAGGAACCGAATCATTTATATTAAAAGAATAACACATCTCTCCAACCTTTATTTGGATCAATTTCAATCACTTTACGCAGGTTTTATTAAATCAATGGCTAGAGAAAATTGTCATTTAACAAAGAGCCAGAATTCTGAATGAGATTGAAAAAAAAAAGTAGCCCAAGGAAGGCACATGGTAATAAAAGATTAGCATAACTAAGGCCAGGTCTACTCTATAAATTTACATAGGTCTAACTAAATCACTCCAGGGTATGAAAAATCCACATCCCTGATTGACACAGTTATACCAACCTAACCCCCAGCATAAGCAGCGCTTTGCTGATAGGAGATCTTTTCTCATTGACAAAGCTACCGCCTCTATGAGAGGCGAATTAACTACACTGACAGAAGAAGCTCTCCCATTGGCATAGTAGCGTCTTCACTGAAGCGCTACAGTGACGTAGCTGCTCCAGTGCAGCTGCGCAGCACTCTAAATGTAGACCTGCCCTAAGAGTTGTGTTATTCCAATTTAGTTACACTGATGCTATAATCACTGTCATGTGCTACGGAATCTGAGATAAGCACCAAATGATCATATATGTAACAAGATCAGCTACTTAATTCAAAGTGATAAAAACAGGCTAGACTGAAATAACAAGGCAGTGTATGTGTGTGTAAAATATATATTTAACAAATTAATGATATCATGGATATCATGGTTTGTCACTACAGCTGGGCAAACTATTTGCAAAAAAACAATTTGTTTGGCAAACTTAGCTCACTTTCCTGTCTGCGCATGATCAACCAACAGATTGCAATTTATAATAATGTGTTCATTATTCAAAGTAATTGGACAAATACTTTGTACAAACAGATAGCCTATGGGTTGCTTACAAACTGTTCTCGGTATTCAATAGTCTCAATAGTTATTCTATTCAGCACAATTCTTTTCTCAGCCATTTAAAGAAATCATAATCTAACGCCTACCTAGCTAGATTACTTACTAAAAGTTCTAAGACTCCATTCCTGGTCTATCCCCGGCAAAGCAGCATATAGACAGACAGACCAGACCCTTTGTTTCTCTCCCTCCTCCCAGCTTTTGAAAGTATCTTGTCTCCTCATTGGTCATTTTGGTCAGGTGCCAGTGAGGTTACCTTTAGCTTCTTAACCCTTTACAGGTGAGAGGATTTTTTTCTCTGGCCAGGAGGGATTTTAAAGGGGTTTACCCTTCCCTTTATATTTATGACAGGTGCCCCTAGTTCATGGGAGCCGGAAGGACTCCAAAAGCGGAGATGGGGAGGAAGCAACCAAAATGAGCCAAATCTGGGTGGCATTACGACCCCATGTGTCAGACTGCAACACCACTCACGCAAATTTGGCCCAGCCACCCTTCCATAATGACAGAGGGTCAACTAGGCCAAATTTCAGTGAGCTGCATTATGCCCTGGTACATGGGGTAGCAACAGCACTCACTCACATTCACTCAAATTTGGCCTAGCCACCCCTCTGTCATGCCAGCAGGGATGGGGCTACACTGTTATACCACCCAGCTCCAATCAGGGCCAGAGGAAGGGCTGGACCCCCTTTTGCACCCCTGCCAAGTTCAAGTTCTCAAAAGTGAGGGGGCATGGCCCCCTTTGTTTACAAAAAAAATGAGGGGAATGGCCCTTTGCCCCCCACCCCCATCCAGAACTCATGCCCTAGTTGTCGGTATGTTGTACACCAGAGCCACTTACAACATTGTGGCAACAACAAAGATAGAACTCTGATAGTTCTGCTTAAAAAGCAAAGGCAGTTTGCCTGATTGCAATATAGGGCCTATGAGACCCAGTTGATCAGTTCTGATTCCATCTAGCAGAGGGAAGTGATACACATTTACATTAGACAACTCATAATATATTTAATTCAAAATTGCTCAAAATAAAGGATGTAGGTTTAGCTATTTTAAAATAGTTATCATTTTGATCCTGAGCTTTTGTTCAAATTAACCAGTGACTGAATTAATAGGATTGAATTGAAACGTCAGTGCAGTGTAATTAGCAGGAAGTGTATATACACGAAACTGAATACAAGTGACGAAGGATACTCTGTGCCTCCTGAGATGCCTCTCTAGCTCCCATTTTATTATATATTACAGTGTTTATTACAGTGTTGTTAGCATACTGTGCACCTCACATACATTTTGGGATTAACATACTGTGGGCAGAGAGGCACCACCAAAATCAAATGAGTTATAGAATCATAGAATCATAGAATATCAGGGTTGGAAGGGACCTCAGGAGGGCATCTAGTCCAACCCCCTGCTCAAAGCAGGACCAATCCCCAATTAAATCATCCTAGCCACGGCTTTGTCAAGCCTGACCTTAAAAACTTCTAAGGAAGGAGATTCCACCACCTCCCTAGGTAACGCATTCCAGTGTTTCACCACCCTCCTAGTGAAAAAGTTTTTCCTAATATCCAACCTAAACCTCCCCCACTGCAGCTTGATTTAAATGTTATGTTATGATTTAAATGTTGCTCTCCTAGCTGCATAGAATATGGACAATAAAAGGAGCACTTGTTTTTGGCAAACTTATGTTGTTCATATGGTTTAGGGGGAGGGAATACAGAATGCAATTATCTGTTTCAGTCTGGTTTAGTTAACTGAAAGCCATGAAGAAATGGGATGTTACATCACAAACTTGGCAATACTCCCTCAAGTGTACAATACATGTATTTAATGTGGGGAAAGCTGGAAACGCCAACAATTTTTAAAGTTATGAATAGAACCAGTGCTTCCCAGGCTATGACCTCTCTGGCACCCTGAGAAGGACAGAGAAATCCCATCTGCCATCAGCAACCCCACTAGCCAAATAAGGAATGGCATTAACAGGCTCCAAGGGGACAGGGGAATCTTATCAAGTTCTTCTGGACTGCAACACAGAGACACTGGAGGTCAAACGAGCAGAGCAAAAGCAGGAAGGACCCCATAATCCTCCTTCGAGGGTAAAGAAGGAAAAGAATTCCACAAGAGCAACAATAACGCTGGTAACCAAATATAGTAAACCCAATAATTATCTGTAATTAGCTGTAGCTCACGAAAGCTTATGCTCAAATAAAGTTGTTAGTCTCTAAGGTGCCACTAGTACTCCTTTTCTTTTTGTGAATACAGACTAACACGGCTGCTACTCTGAAACCTAATAATTATCTGCATTCATATAATGCCTGGCATCCCAGAATCTCAAAGCACTTTACAAACATCAATGAATTAAGCCTCACTACAGTCCTGGCAGACAGGCAGTGTGTCAGCATTATATACCTATAATACTGACTACTTAGCACTTTTCATCTCGAAGTGTTCTACAGAGGTGTGTAACTATTATCTCCGTAACACACACACACACACACCCCTTTATACAGCTGGCTGGAGACACCAACACTCTGACCCTCCCCCCTTGTGGGGTTCCGCCTGGGCTCCCACTAAAGCCACAGACGGGTACAGTGCGATTTTATAGAATCATAGAATATAAGGGTTGGAAGGGACCCCAGAAGGTCATCTAGTCCAACCCCCTGCTCGAAGCAGGACAACCATAGCCATGCACCCCAAAGATTTCGAGCCCCAGTCAGCTGATATGTGCCAGCCACTGATGTTTTATTGCAGTGTGAACATACCCTTGGGCTAAGGAAGTAGTCTAGGGTCACACAGCTGTGCCACACTTCCCAATACCCAGTCCCAGGGTGTATTCATCAGACCACACTTCTTCAATTTGTAACTAACAAATTACTCCCACAACCAAATGGCAACTGACTGGGCAACAATAGGGTGACCAGATAGCAAGTGTGAAAAATCAGGACACTTTTTTTTCTGGAAGGGGTATAGTTGTCTATATAAGACAAAGCCCCTAATATCGGGAAGTCTGGTCACCCTAGGCAATGACAAGATTAAAAACTTTAACTACAAGCACGTGCGCCTGCCCAGAGTTTAAAGGACATAACTGGCTCAAGGGCAGCATCAGCTATTTCCTCCGTCCCCCTTCGGGGACCCTCTCGTGCCCCTACAGGGGGGCGGGTAAATAGGCGCTTTCCTTCCCCTAACTCCCCACCTGCCTTTAAAGAGCAAAACTGGACTTTGTCAGAACGAGAAGAGTGGCAGACACCCCTTCAAAGAGACCCCGCCCTGCCCTGCGCTGCCCCCTTGCGCTGGCCAGTCCCAAACCTCCCAAGAAAGCGTTAAGGAGGGGAGAGGGCGGGGGAGGGATTTTGCTGGCCCAGCTCAGCTGCGCTCTCTCTGGACTAGACAGACACCCGGCCCGGCCCTGGCACGAGCCCTCCCGCTTCCCCACCCCTCGCCGTACAAAAAGCCGCCCGACAAGTTTCTTGGAACTTTGCCTGCCCTGACGCAAACAATGGTGCAGGGCCCCCATCCTCCCGGGGCAGCCAATAGGCAGCTGGGAGACCCGGTTGCCACCAATCAGAGGGAGCTGGACAGTTCCCCGGTCCTGACTGACCTTCAGCCGGCTGGCGTAGGGGGGGGATAAAAGAGCCCAGAGGCGGCAGCGGAGGTTTGGCTGCCGCAGCTGCCGCCCCTCCCGCCTTAGAGCCAGGCAGACCCGGCGGGGACCCGGCGCGGCCCGAGCCAAGCGGGAGGCAGCGCGAGCCCCACGGGGAGCTGGCCCGGGAGCGGGCGCCGTGGCCGAGGGCTCCCGCGAAGCGCCCCCCCAGCTCATTCAGTGAAGCCGCAGCAGCGCCTGGAAGCCGGGGCTCGGCAGCGGCCCGGCCAAGCCGCAGAGCGGGCGCAGAGAGAAGCCTCCCCGCCCCCGGGTGGGCGCCGCTGCCCTGCGAGCAGCCAGAGGTGAGCGCCGAGCCACGGCTCTCCTCCGGCGCCTGCTGCCTGGGCTCGCCCGGCCGCTGCGCCGCCCACTGCGCGCCGGTCTCCCCGGCCGGGAGCGCCGGCTCGGCCAGGGGTGCCCGGGAGGAGGGACCTGAGGCGGGGAGGGGCAGATTCCGGGGAGGCTGAAGGGAGAAGATGGAGACTCGGGCAGGGAGCGGGAGGGACGGGGCAGGAGAAGGGGCTGGGCTGGGAGGGCGGGTGAGGGCACAGGAGCCGAGAGAGGGGACGCGGGGACAGGGAGAGGCAGCTTGGGGGTGGGTCAGGATCGGAGCTGGCCGAGTGGGGGGAGGGTTGGGGACGGGGCACAGGGAGCTGGGTCACGGGGGGTGAGATTTGGGGATGGGACACAGGGAGCTGGGTCACGGGGGGTGAGATTTGGGGATGGGACACAGGGAGCTGGGTCACGGGGGGTGAGATTTGGGGATGGGACACAGGGAGCTGGGTTACGAGGGTGAGTGGGGGGACATTTGGGGATGGGGAATAGGGAGCTGCGGTATGGAGGTCAGTGGAGGAGATTTGGGGACAGGGCACAGGGAGCTGGGTCACAGGGGTGAATAGGGAGATTTGGGGGGTGGGGAACAGGAAGCCGGGTTATGGGCGTGAAATTTGGGGACAGGGAGCTAGGTTATGGGTGTGAGATTGGGGGGTGGGGAACAGGGAGCTGGGTTACAGGGGTGAGATTTGGGGATGGGACACAGGGAGCGGGGTGAATGGGGGGATATTTGGGGATGGGGAACAAGGAGCTGGATTACAGGTGTGAGTGGGGGGAGATTGGGGGGGAACAGTTGAGTTAGGAAGACTGAGACTTTATAAAATTATGTTATATTCGCCTCTGATGGACTGAAATTTCTCAGTCAGATTTATCAGCATATTGCATTTGAAAAAAGCTTGAATCCTCTGAAGCTGGTAATTTCTTGTTAAATTAGATTTGTTTGCTTGTGTTTCCAGCTCTGGACTTCCTATCTTAGCCTTGCTTTGTTTGCCTATAATTCAGACAAAGGTGAGGCAGGTTAGTGCATCTCTACCATTTTGTATATTATTGAAAATATGTGCCCTCCTGAGCCAAAAATGTACAAAGCTAGAGGAACCCCAGAACAGTTCTTTTCCACTTAGTACCTTTGTCAGGATGGCAAAACATAAGCCTTGTTTACAAGGAAAGGCACCGTCTTAGTCTCTTGGTTGCCAAAGTGAATCATTTGACACATGCCCTACCACCTTGAAGATTGCCTCAAGGCTGTTTAAACAGGACAGTGACTGTGAGGAGATCTCTGTGGCCTTGGGAAAGAACATTTCAGTTTGGACCAGATTGATAGTTCAGTTTGCTGAACTGATCAATCTGAATCAGCCTTGCCCTCCACATAAAAGTTAGAAATTAACTGTGATTAAAAGCACAACCAGAGTTGCGGGGAAAAAGAACAGGGCTTTGCTGGGGAGAGGTATGTGTGTTACTGTGCTGTCCCCAGGTTCACTGGGGAAGGGGGAGTGACTGACTGACTAGCAATCATTAAATCGTGTTTTTGGTTTGTTTTTTTGGGAAGTGTTTCTGTAGGTCTTGGACCTAATGAGGCATTTTGACAACAAAGTGGGGAAAAGCCCCTCCTGAAGCCCAAGCTCAGCGATGCCCTGGAACGTCAAATGGCTGAACAGTTACAGCAGCCACAATTCCCAGTCCCAAAAGCAATGTAAGAAATCCTCCTTCGCCTTTTACCAGGCAGTGAGGGACTTGGTGCCTGTGTGGCTTCTGGAGGACATAAGGACAATGGAGGCCTTTCACTGGGAAGAAGGAGGAAAGGTGAGCACCTATTCTCCCTCTGAGGCTCTTCTCTATGCCCTGGTGCACAACCACCAACCTTACGCTCAGTACCTACTGAGTAAATTTCCTCAGAGCGCCCTGGCCATACCCAGCCAAAACTTCAGCTGCTGCCAGTCATCAGCTCCTCACCTGGCCATGGCAGTTCGCTACAACCGCACCCACATCCTCTTCAGAATACTGAAAGCCATCAGAGGCTTTCCAGAGAAAGAGAGAGCCAGCTACTTGGACCGCAGGGGATGCAGTCGCGTGGAAGGCAGCAAAACTGTCTTGCACGTGGCCTGTGAACTGTTGAGACCTGAATGTTTGCTTTTATTGCTGGGTCATGGGGCATCGCCCTGCTTACGTGATTGCACTGGGAATACCCCCTTGGACATCTTGCTCCAGCAGATTTCTCAGACCCCTGCGGTTAACATGCGCACCAAGTTCCTCTTGCTGGACTCCCTTTTCCTCTTCATGCCTCAGGAACTCCAATTTTCAATGAAACAGCAACTGCTGGACAATCCTCAACACTGGGAGGACCTTTTGGGAGAGAACAGATTCCAGTGGCTGGCAGGTTTAGCTCCTACATCTCTGTTCATCACAGCTATGCGTGTCTTAATCAGGAGCATTTCACCTGAACAATTCCCAGAGGCACTGGAAAATCTGCCTTTGCCACAGTTTCTGAAGCCTTTAGACTTGAAATTGAAGAGCTAGGGGATGTGCCCAAGAACCTCCAGCTTGTGTGGTTTCAGTATAAAGAGCTGTTAATGCAGAAGTGGGGCAATTCTCTTGTTTTAATTAGTACATGTTTTTAAAAGGATTGTATCTGGCACTTTACATATCTTTTTATTTAAAGATCATTGTGGTGAGTAATTTTCACACCACTTTTTATAAAAGTATTCTATGGTATGTGTAACTTAGGATTCATGGGTATATATATCTGTAAATAGGTATAAATAGACCAGTGGCAGATATGACTGAAATAGAAATCTAGCAATTTTAAGCTCTGAAGTGACACATCCATGTGAGAGTGGTAGAGATAGGCCCTTTGGTTTTGTCCTATCTTTCATTTAACCATGGCACAATTCTGGAACAAAATAATTTATTTTTACAAGTATCATAGTTGTCATGGAAGAATATAGACACATTAAGGAACAGGTGAAAAATTCTTGATCTTATACAAAAACCAAGGTATTTTTAAAATAATCTAATTAAATTAGGATGGCAGGAATATACATCTGAACAAAAATGGCCATTTGTATGAAAACTGGATTATTTTCCCATAATGTTCTGTGTTCCCTTTGTCCTTCAGTGAAATCCGAGGGGCCTAGTTGTCATTTCTTCTTTTTACTGTGGAGGGAATGGAAGGAGCAGAAAACATGCTCTCTTTGGCCAAGTTTCGGTTAGAGGGAGGAAGGGGGTAATACATCATGGTTCCATCCTCTGTCAGTCCTGCAGAAGCCCCTTCACATGAACACTCTGTTTGAAGTGCTATCATCTTTGGGGAGTGACTAGGAAAAGAAGGAGCAGAGCTGGGCAGAGCCATTCTCCTTACTATTGTCCTCCTGCAAACCCACAGGGACTTTTTTGTGCAAACTGATGTCTGTATTCTGTCATGTGGATTCTTTGTTGTCATTCCCCATCCCTACCCCAAACATGTTGACATAGGTTGTTGAAAAGCCTATGGCATCCTTAGTCCCTGTGAGTATTTAGGGGGTAGCTTGGATGCACTGGACCTCCACCTGAATATCTTGACCCTGAGTGGATGACCAGAGATCCATGAAATATTCCCAGAGATTCTCCAGACATCTCTGCACTGGGAGGGCTATGCCCTCGTCTGCTCTGCAAGGAGCAAACCTTGCCTTCCCCCACCAGTCATTGTAATCTTCATGGCTTCCACAGAGTTTTCCACCTACCTTTAGCCCTACAGGACATTAGCTGAGCTGTCGGGTTGTTTTGCACTAAGACTCTTGCCATGGAGTCAGTTATTGCATTAGAGATTTCAGCCTCCTAGCTCCCTACAGGGTGAGCACGGAGCAGAAGTGAAAAGCCTGAGTTTGAAACATAAATCCCTTTGATCACGAACAAGTTTGGTGGGAAAAACTATGAAAAACACAGAGCAAGCAACTGTAAATTGTTCACAGTTCAGCTGAATAGATTCTAGAGAGTTTATCCAGTGTGGAACTCTCCTCTTTTTAAAAACATACAGTTCTACTGGATATATGATAAAATAGGAAATATTAGAGGGTTGGTACGCTTCAGAAATTTGAGATACAAGAGAGGGAAAAAATAGCTTGTTTTATGCTGAGGTAATGCCTTCCAGAAAAAAAACCAAGAGGGTGATTGCTCAAGCTAATTAACACAGGAAATGCAGATCCCTTGCTGGAAGGGGGGGGTCTTGAAATAACCAAAATATGCAATCTTTGATCCTTGAGACCCGCCCCTTCCCCCATTGCCTCAGGGATAACAAAATACAGCCCTGTAGTAGAATTCACTGAACTGCTCAAAACCAAGAATGCCTCTCACAGCAGTATAAAAACCTATATTACTGGATTCTTCATGCAACTATATCTTTCCCATTATTCCAGGAGCACTACTGTATAAGTTTATTGCATAAATAAACTAGAAGATAAAGCAATCAGTTTTAACTGTGCTGACACCAATCCTTTGCTGCCCACTCCATGCACACACAAAAAACTAGCCTTCATAACCATGTATCATAGGGATAATATACCATGGGCTGGGGAAATATAGGGTTTTGAAAGGATGCTTGGAAGTAAAGAACTAATTATTTTAGCACGTTTTCTATTCCACCCAAAGGTGTTTACTGATGTGAGACAGCAGAATTTGAGTGGTTTGTGCTCTCAGCAGAGCCTGTACATGCAGGCAACAGCCTCATTCTGCAGGGTTATTGTATTAAAAAAACTAGACTATTTTATTCTCTTTCCTCTCACATCTGCTTTTCCTGCTCCCCCAGCCCTCTCAAATGGTGCAGTTGCCACTTTCCACAGCAATTACTCACTGCAATGCTAGCATAAAACTTTTACTCACCTCCCTCAGCAAGAAGAGAGGGTGTATTATGCAGAACATTACACATTCCTATTGCTCCTTCCCTAGTGAAAACAAAAGAAAAGGTTAACATGAATATATTGTATCATGATCATTTCCCAGACTCCTGTAACCGTGCCTTAGTGGGTCACAACTGAGAATACCAAATTCAGGACAAACTGCTGAGAAATAGGGCAGACACACCCCAAAACTGGTGGTTATTCTCCCATAAGATATACCAAACCAGCAACAAAAGTAAACGTTCACCACTCTGGCTAACAAGGAGTCAGACAAATAGTGGATTGGATCTGTTCTTGCAGCATAATTCCTGCATGTCCTATGTGATCTTGCCATGAAGCTCTGGCAAATGTTTGGAACCCAATTAACGTCAAGTCAATGTAGATATTAATGTTCTCCATAGTGTAGGTACCTTGGCATTTAGCCATGAAAACAATATGGTGGTGTACCTCGGTTTCCCCTCTCATACAGCATATTAGGTGTGTAATGTTTTTTTTCCTGTGTACAGTTTCAAGACTGGTTACAGGCAGTAACTGTGAAACATCAGTATTACAAGGTCTTTTAACATAAAGTGTGTTGTCATGTAATGAAACAGTATAACCATAAAGGCTTCTAGCACATAGCGAGTTCTTATGTATCACTCCCAACATGTTCAAGAGTTTTTCCAAAAGATCATGCACATTGTACATTCTTACAGTTTTTGGTATCAGCAACACATTAGTCACAAAAGTTAACATTAGCATGAATATTAACATCAAATCTATTACAAGTGTACATTTACAAGCATTTTTGTTATGTCATGCCTTTGGCTCAATACCCTTGGAGTTTTGGCACTTTAGGGTTAACCTGTGGTTTCCATTTGCAGGATTAAGTTTTTCCCTTTCTGTCCTGTAGGGTCAAATCCTGAGCTCTCTTGCTTAACAGAATTCATTGGCTGGTTAGGTGTGTCTTTTCTGCTAAGAGCTATGGGCAAGTCTTTCACCTCTCTCTCCTCTCCCCCCCCCCCCCCCGCGGTCAGGTAATTTGCATCAACACAGACACTAGCTTGTTTACTAGTTTTCAGATTCTTAACTTTTAACAATTCCAAGGCTGGATTCTGTCTTAAAGAGATACCACCCATTTTCACTAGCATGTTAGACTTGAGGTTCTTTTGTCCTTCCATTACCACCCTCTGCTTCCACAGGGAATCAGATGTCAAGTCTACTAAGAGACTTACAAGACATATCCAAAGTGTCTAGAGATGAGTTTGCCTGCCATCCCCTGTATTCTCGAGAGATCAACTGAACAACTGTCCTGCTCTGTAGATTCAGCTACACAGTCGTCCCTCTGAACCTGAGACACAGACTGTTTACTTGAAGAATCAACATGGGGACATTCATGTACCAACAACATTGCCTCCCCAAAACACTGGTCAAGCACAGCCACTTGGTCATCATAGGGCTGTTCAAATTCCCTGACAATTTTCATTCCATATGAAACCTTCTCAAAGTTATCCACACTGGATCTTTCTAAAGCTGGATCAGTGGATCCATACACATCTGAAAGACTCTGGCAGTTAGGAACTGAAACTACCTCAATCTAATCACTTCCACACTCTTCAGTTACAGCAAACTGCGTGCAAAAACTATCAAGAGGATTCCTCTCCCTTGGAGCTTCTTTAAGCGACCACTCACCTTTACCTTGCTCCACAGAATCATTGCTCTACTGAGCCACAACCAATTCCTTCTGAAAAAAGAAAAGGAGTACTTGTGGCACCTTAGAGACTAACAAATTTATTTGAGCATATGCTTTCGTGAGCTACAGCATCCAATGAAGTGATGCTCACAAAAGCTTATGCTCAAATTTGTTAGTCTCTAAGGTGCCACAAGTACTCCTTTTCTTTTTGCGAATACAGACTAACACGGCTGCTACTCTGAAAAAAATTCCTTCCAAGTTTCACTTACACCCAGAATCATCACTGGCCCATTAGGAGGATTCTTACACAACCCCCTTTTAGGCAAGCTGCTAGACTCCACAGTTAAAATGTTAGAGGCATTCTCCTCCCCTTTGCAGTCCTTGCTGGCAACATACAGGTTACCAGGCTTAATACACAAATGCTTAGGGACCATTCCCTTGTTACAAGTTTTCACACTGTCAGTGGGTAACGCAGTTAAATCACCTTCATACTCTCCTTGTGCCCTGACCATGATATCAACCTGGTTAAACAGAGTTGTCATATCTTTACTCAGCACCATACTAGCAATAGACAAAATAGAAGCACCAGAATTGCCTAGTCCTTGGGACTTTGTTATGACACTAACTGGATGTGAGCTAGTTACAATTTCATTCTCCCTAGCAGACACAAATTTAGGAATACTTCCTTCCTGGGCTTTAGTTAAATCCAGAACCAACTCGGGCAACTGACAGATTCTCAAGTAGCATAAGCGGAGAAGCACTTTCTGTCTGCTCCACAGACAAAGAACTAGAGACACACCCTTTTGCAGCAGACACTGCTATTCTTAACAGACAAAAACTGGAGATATCCTTTCCTTTGTCCCAGCACCCATGGCTGATTTCAGACATATACTTGGAAAGTGGGACAGCTTCCTTAGTAGGCAAGTTGCCACTCCCAACAGATAAACTGCCATTCTCCACATTACAATGAGCAACTTTAAGCAAATCACTTCTACCTTGTTGTTCAGGCTTACTTTCGCAAGCTTCTCTTGCCAAGAATCCATTACCCACAAAAAACTACCCTTTTCGTCCTCAATTAGGGCTTTAACCTGACTTTAATTCAACTTTAATCTGCTCTAGAGAAACATTTTCCTGATCAATGAGTTCTCTCTATGCTTTATCTAATTCCAGATTCACTTCTGAGATATTAGACAGATATTCAGAAACTTCATTCACAAACAGCATTTTTTGCACAAACAGCTATTTTCCACCTTCCCTAGGTTAGAGACACCCTTTCCCTGGCCAGAGCAAAACTGGTTAAATACAGACAACTTCTTAGAGCCATACAACATACCAACATTGTTATAAACTGGACTTCCAAGGTGATACAGTTTCTGCTGTTCTTCCATTGCTTTTTTGATTTGGAGCTTAAGTTTGTCCACTTCTGTCTTAGCTTGCAGCACTTCCATTTGCCTCCTGTATGCTTTTTTGGTTCTTTCTTCAGCTTGCTTAGCTCTCTCTTCAGCTCTTTTTCCAGCTGGGCCAAGGCTTGCTACTCTTGCATTCGAAGTTCTGCCAGTCTTTGTTCATGTTCAAGACACAGACTCTCTCTCAGGGCTTGCAGTTTGATTGCTTCTGCAGATGCCTTCTGGCTCATGGTCACTGATCTTTAACATTTAAAATTCTCAATATCAAAATTCAAATTTTGAATAGCATGGGGTTCTGATCCAAAGCTTAACTGACTTGGTTCTGTGGATCCTAGCCAGACTACACCACTGTAACCAGGCCTCTGTGGGTAACAACTGAGAATACCAAATTCAGGGCAAACTGCTGAGAAATAGGGCAGATACACCCCAAAATTGGTGGTTATTCTCCCATAAGATAAACCAAACCAGCAACAAAAGTAAACTTGTTTCACCACACTGGTTAACAAGAAGTCAGAAAAGATATTCCAATCCTTGCATCACCACCAAAAACACTAGGCTTAAAGATAAGGGGTTCTTTAAAACCAATTTCATCCAATAAAAGATTTTTGTGATCCCAAAGGACCAGCCACACACCCAGGTCAATATATAACTCAGATCTTACCCAATAATCATGCTGTTGCCAATCTTTTAGTATCTAAAATCTAAAGGTTTATTTATAAAAAGAAAAAGAAAGATGAGTTAAAATTGGTTAAAAGAATCAAATTCATACAATAAATGCACAGTTCTTGGATCAGGCTTGTAGCAGTGATGGAATAAACTGCTGGCTTGTTAAGTCTCTGATTGCTTCCAAATCATTGGAAGGTCCTCAGTCCCTTGAATGCTCCCATCAGGAAAGTTCATAGTCCAGAGGTTTGAGCAGGAAAGAGGCAAATGGAGATGTTTCCAGGGCCTTTTAGAGCTTCTCTCAAGTGAAGAGAAACCCATTGTTCTCACTGTGGAAAATTACAGGTGACAAGATGGTGTTTGGAGTCACATGGGCAAGTCACATGCCCACGCATGATTTTGCTTAGTCATAGCAAAAGCCATTTCCCACACTCTAGTTGTTCACATGAAAGTCCATCAGCCGTGAATAGGCATCTTCCATGGTCCATTGTGAGTTAAGTGTTCATTGATGGGCCACTTAACCTGACTAGTTTCAGAGTAGCAGCCGTGTTAGTCTGTATTCACAAAAAGAAAAGGAGTACTAGTGGCACCTTAGAGACTAACCAATTTATTTGAGCATAAGCTTTCGTGAGCTACAGCTCACTTCATCAGATGCATCCGATGAAGTTAGCTGTAGCTCACGAAAGCTTATGCTCAAATAAATTGGTTAGTCTCTAAGGTGCCACTAGTACTCCTTTTCTTTAACCTGACTAGTCCCTTCAAGACGTGCAGGCTAAATACCTTGTGGCCGTTACCCCAGGAGCAAACGTATTTGAAATACAGGTATAGAGCCAATTCTTATGACTTCAAATACAACGATACATGCACACAAATAGCATAATCATATTCAGCAAATCACAACCTTTCCACAGACACCTTACTTGACGTACTTTGTACAAGATTTGTTGCAATTATATAACAGTAATAGCAACAATGATTCACATGGTCATATTTTAATCAGATACCATCACAACTCTTCATTGCTCAACCAAACACCCATATGGGTCATGTCCATATTCCAGTGTATCCAATGACTGAGACCCGTCAAAATCAGCCCTTTGCTCTGTGATTATGTTTGTAGAATGTAAACAGCTGGGGGAAAATTACTATCCAAAGTTACATGAAAAATGACAATAGTAAAGCATAAATGATGGGACACACAATAAGAAGATAAAGAAAAAAGAGGGAAATTAAAAAGCCTCTCAGTGAAAGAATGGACTCAGTAATCCACCATCATTAACTAGGACATGCCACTCATAAGGCTGACCATTCATTGTCATAAAGACAGAACAGTGATCAGAACATTCACAGCTTCCATCGTGATCCCAAAAGGGTCAAATTAAGCTTGATGAAAAAGTTTACCTGTTCACTTAGATGCTGTGCAAAGAGGGTCTAAGGACAGACCCAACTCCCACGGAAGTCAATTGGAGTTCTTCTGGTGACTTTACTGGGAGTCAGATCTGACTCCTGAAAATAAATGGCAAAGGAATCCCTACTTGTGAGACTCTTCCAAATCCTATCAGAATAATCCAGTGTGCTCTAGCAGGCTGTGTTAGAAACATGGATAGCTACAGTCCTGATTCAGCTCCCATTAGCATTAATAGACTCCCATTGATTTCAGTGGGAATTGGATTGGGTCTTAGGTTGAGCCAAATACAAGTGTATGAGATATTACCAGATATAGGCCAGAAAAAAGGAAAATATTTAGCACTTATTAGACTGTGAGTACTTAGGGGCAGGGACTGTGTCTTCCAGTATTTGTGTTGAGCACCGAGCACACTTTGGGCGTTACAATTACAACTACAGCTGTGTAAGTCTCAACTTTAGTTTGATTTGCTCCCACAAGAAATTTGATTTTCACACAATTCCACCACATGCATCAGAAATCTACCCCACCACAGTCTACTAGAAAGTTCCTAATGTGTGAGACATCCTATATAGCATGTTGTAATAAGCCTGCAAAAGGTTAAAGGTCAAAGTTGCCTCTGAGAGTCCTTGTGGATGGCCCTCTCCCGGGCTGCTGGGTGATTAATTTGGGTAAACATAAAGGCTCCCATCAATGTGTTATTATGGGACTGAAGTCAGGCCCATTCCTGTGGACCTGCTGTTTTTACTCTAAGGTCACTGAGACGTTGTTGCAGCCTGTTGATGTGTCTGTAATACCTAATCTGATAAATGGAGACTTTGGGCAAACTGTACTGTTGTTATATAGTCTGATAACATACTCTAATAGAATTGGATTTTGTTCTTTTAACTGAGTCTAGTGTTTGTAGAAGATGCTGGACTGCCAGCCCTGGGAACAGAAGTCCTCTCTTTATTTACAGAATAACTACAATAGCAGCATGAGGTTTCCTCCCAATGACTTGCCTCAGCCCCACATTGGAGAAGCCTTTTGCAGCGATCAGCATGTATAGATGGTGTTCAGTCTCCACAGCCTATTCAGCCCTTGGCCTTTATGTAGAGACTGCCAACAAAAATGTCAATTAGTGCCAGTTGTCTAAAGCAAATGATGACAGTTCTATCAAGTCTCCACAGGACCAGAGGTGCCATGCAAGATTTTACAAGTCTGTTGCAGAGGCCAGGGAAAGCAGATGCACCTAGTCAATTGTAAGACCAGGGTCTTAGGCAACAGGGGATTGAGTAGGAGTAGCCTGGGTACATATTTAAGCAACTCCTTTCAGAAAGGAACAGCAAAAGGATGAGTTACTGCATCTTTGTGAAATGCTTTCAAAAGTATCAAGGGTAACACACATACCCAGCATTCCAGTTGTAGCCAGTGCCTCCAACAGGTAATTTTGACAAAGGTGGCACACAGGCCATGTACTCAGCATTTAAACAATGCTTTAGATTTCTAAAGAGCTGTACAAACCGACTATCACAGCATCTCTGTATTATCTCCATTGATCATCCTGAGAAACTGAGGCACAAACGGCCCTGTTAAATTTGTTTTTAGCCAGGAAGTTTAGCGATGCAAATGTTTGTTACTCATAACCCTGCTGGAGTCAAAAGGAATAGCACTAAAGCGCAGCACAACTAGAGGGCACTCTCCTTTCTTGGCATTGGAGTTTTATCCAGCAGGGGTGGAGTGGGGGCAGGGCTGGGACAGAGCAGGGGTGGGGGCCATGGGTGCCCCAAATTTCCTGGTGCCTTATGCAGCTGCGTACTTTGTGTATGGGTAGGGATGGCCCTGCATTTAAATAACCCCAGCCACAGAAACACTACCTATTACTTTCTCAGAATTTATTGAGCAACCCCTTCTTGCCATACACGGTGTTTCACCAGTGGCTTAACTCTATAGTGTCGCATGGTTCCTGCTTGAAGAAGTTTGCATGTTACCTTTTTCTTTGCATTAAGTATGCACGCATATATACATCACACGAATGCACATCAGACAGAACCAGAGAATGTAACCCAAAAACATTAGCAGAAGAGACAAGTACAATGGTTTATGAAAACATTACCAGAAGTTCATTAATCCTAATAAAAGGGACCAATCCAGGTTCTACTGAAGTAAAAGGGCAACCTCTTTGGTTCCCATTTATGGATCCAGTATTTCTTTGCCAAATTAAACTTATCTGGAATATCATTATTAGTTGGAGAGACCATATACCCCAATTAAGTGCATCTTTGAAAGTGGGCAAATCTAAAAAATTAGAGGCATGTAACTTTCATAGACATTTATTTTTAAAGCTATTGTGATCATCTAGTCTGACCTGTATAACACAGGGAATAGAATATCTTCCTGTAATTCCTGCATGAAGCTGATAATTTCTGGTTGAGCTAAAGTAGCTCTTTTAAAAAAGAAATCCAGACTTGATTTAAAGACTTCAAGAGATAAAGAGCTACAATCCTTGATAAGAAGACTGTTGCAAAGCTCAGTATTGAACCCAGATCTCCTTAATCCCTGTCCCTTGAACACAAAACCAGGCTTCTCCTCCTTCCTCTGCTTATTTACACACAAAAACAAATGTTCACATTTTAATTTAATGTATTTTTTTAAGTGAAAATTAGTAGAATTGGTAGAATCAGCACAAACCAGTGAATGATCCCCATATAATAGCACATGGTCAGGAAACATATTCATGACCTCTTGTCCTAAACTGGGACCTGATCCCAATTCACAATGAAATCAGTGCTAGTCATTCCATTTCAAGAATGAGATCAGGCCCTTGGGGATGATCGCATCTAGAACCAGAGATAGGCCTGAGCCAAAAACTCATATCAACATACCCCAGGACCTTGGATGAGTTAAAATATGGATCTAGCCTTTGTGGCTTGGGCCCATCTTGAACTAGGTTAATCCAAGACAAAGTCAGCATGCCTCAGAAATACATTGTAGGTCAACTCCTTTCCTTCAGTAATATCTCTTCTCATTTTGCATGGTTAATGTAGAAAAATTTAAGGGGACAAATTCATGCCTGTTATAACTCTACTAACTACTATGGAGTCAAAATGGATGAATGTGTATCCTATTCTTAATGTTTTTTGGGAGGAGGGATTATAATTATGTTTTTATGGTGTGACAAGGCTACATTGAACATGTTAATTACAGTATACAATATTGAGCTGTAGCTCACGAAAACTTATGCTCAAATAAATTTGTTAGTCTCTAAGGTGCCACAAGTCCTCCTTTTCTTTTTGCGAATACAGACTAACACTGCTGCTACTCTGAAACAAATATTAATCTTTATAACTCAGTGTAATCTCGATGAAATAATGTCCATGGCAGCATATTCAAGTGAAACCTACAACTCACGGTTACAAAGAAAGTGAAGTCACTTGAGGATCAGTCTCTTTGGATGCCTTTTTCTCCATATCTGAAAAACCATGTGTTATCGCTCTCCATGTGTGGAGCAGAAATATGCCACAGTTGTAGCCCAAAGAGAAACCTCAGCCTGGCAGGACTGAGCAATACAAAATCCAAACCCTTTGATTTCTGTCCTTTGTGAACAATGGACATAAATGTGCTAAAGGGAAATAGGGATGCGGGCTGGACAAAATAATATTATTGTATCTTTAAACCAAAACCCACATGATGATGTAGGCTTCCGAATTGTATTCTCCTGTATTGGAGCTGTGTGGCTGGATCCGGCAAGAAGATGTGCAGGTGTCTTGTAGAGAGAAGGGTAGGCCCCTAGGTGTGGTTATGCCTGCTCTGCCATGGAGGAGATCTGGGGTTGACCCTCAGTCCATTCTGTCCCTGTTACCAGCTGGGGCCGGGAATGCCGTTAAAGCAGATCACTCCACAAGGGAAGGAATGCATTGATTCATTCATCCACAATCTTCAGGGTCCAGGTGGAGAGCAGCACCTACAGGCTGTAAAGGAGGCCTCACCTTGTTCTGTAAGACTGTACCTTGTACATACCTGATAGAACGGGTATATCAAGAAGAGTTCATGGCAATATATATGGTCAAATAGTGATACTCTCATTTAGGAAAACTGCTGAAGTCAAATGGGAGTTTGCTGGAGTAAAAGCTGAATTGAGGACCTCAGGCCTCGAGTCTCATGCTTAAAAATCATCCTCCCCTCCAGCAGAAAAGCATTTATAAATACTAAGTATTTCTAAGATTATCAATAGCCCATGGAAGGAGGGACAGAGGCCAAATGGTTTGCCCCAAATTTTTAATTTTTCACACACAAAAATAAAATAAAATCTTATCCTATTCTATATAATCCCTGAAGTATTGTCAAGGGCTAACCCCTAGACCCACTAAAGTCAACGGCAAAGCTCCCACTGATTTCAGTCAGACCAGGATTTGCTCCATTATAGTGCACAGATTAGAATAGATCCCTGGAGGAATAGAACCCAAATGCTTCCTACTAAAGAAACAAACAATAGGATAGATAAAAATGCAGGCTGTGCATAGAGGTTTTTCAAATAACTCCTTCCATTTCCAGTGCCAGAACAGAACATTTACTTGGTTTATCGCTTAAACCTTACTGAAGAGCTTAGTGTGGAATGTGGCCTCCTGCTTGTTAAGGAGAGCATCATCCCAAGAGCATGTAACACCCGTGCTCCACAATCTGCCCAGACTGCCTGTTTGCTTCTGCCTGGAGTTTAAGGAGCTATATGTAACCTAAAAAGCCATAAATAGTCTGGCATTCAGTTCCCTCTCTCCCTGTGCAATACCCATTGCAGCTGCAATTAGCGGAGGCACATGAGCTGAACCTCCTCCCCTCACCCAGGTTAAGCTAGGTGGGGGGTTCAAAAGGGCATTCTTCTCAGCTCCAGACCAAGCTTCCTTCTGGTCTGCCAGAACCTGGATTCATTAGCGTTCAGCACAGACCACAAATCCCATTCTTTTCCTTAGGTGTTTCAGGAGGGAGCTGGCCAAGGGATATGATGTGGTGGGTTTCAGGTTAGGATGATTACCTTCCTTGTAATAGTATGTGAAGCACTAGGGAGAACTCATCACAGAGTCATGTTGATTTAATTCAGACGGTTTGCGTTGTTCACTCTTGTGAAAACACCCAGAGGAATGGATGGGCACTTTACCATCAATGGTCTGTGAAATCCATTACTGTACCCAATACAATGTTTCTAAATGGTTTCTGTTCTGCAGAACATTCACCAGTCTTCACATGGTCTAGGCCATTCTGTAAATGGAGTAATCAAATAAAGAACCACCAAAAATACTATACTGGGTAAAGTTAGGAGGATTTATACTAGTATCAACTGTACTCTTTGTATACTCGGGAGATAGAAGGAACAGATAACTTCATGATCATCTCCCCCATCAGATTCCAACATCCCAGCTCAGCTTTGACACCCTTCATCTTTCCTGTCACTAAAGATCACAGCCTGGCTGCTCTAGGACTTATTTAGCGACCGAATTATCTGGCAGAAAATCATTTTCTGAGACAGAGCCTGATGTCTGAGACAGAGCCTGATGTTGTGAGAGCTGGTGGGGGTAATTCATTGGCTTATTCATTCATTAGTTCAACCATTTTAACATTTAAAACAGATTTGTAAAAATAATCCAACTCCATAACATATTTCCACCCTCTTTCTGTATATGTTAGGTAAAACGCTCTTTGAATACCTTGACCACATGTGAGCACTCTGTGCAACAAGTGAGCTATGCAAAGTGCAGGCCTTGTTGCAGCCACAAAACCCTGCACCTGAATGTATGAAACTCGTAGTGTGTCCCCCTCTCTGTGCCCAATCCACAGAGGATAGGAGTTGTTATAGCCCTCAGCTACAGAGCTTGGCTCTTAAGAGCTAAACGCATGAACTAAAGGACCCTGGCTCAATGTCCCACTGTGCTTGGCCAAGAGGGCAGCTGTCACAATTGCACAGGCAATCACCTGATTTGCATGTGCAGGCCAACTGGCTGAGCACACAGTCAAGTGGTCTTGCAACACCCCACTCTGTATGTGCAAACAACTTGTTTGCTTATACATATGTGGTGCCTAGTAGGTATATTTTGCACAGTTCACCGACTGCACTACTTTTAAAAACATGGTCCTGCAGGCAGCCACATAGCTTGAAAATGAAGTCAGAGTTACACTTCTGCATTAAAAGGGTATTTACCTAATCCTGTGCTCAGGCATCGTGACTTTGCATAGCTCCCATTATCTTTCCACCAGCCCTGGTGAAAAACAACATAAGGAATTAAGGGGAAAGCTTTTTTTAATTTTCCTGGTTAATGTGGGAGCATGAATTGATTTATTGCCCTTGAAAGTGAGAGAGAGTAACGCTGCTAGCTAGCACTAAGCAGGGAAGAGGATCCACAAGCTGCTATGCAGCTCTGCCGATCTTAAACCCCCAGCAGCAACACTCCAGTTATTCGAGTGCTGCACCTTTCTTCAACGGAGGCTGCCGAGCGGAACTGTGTGTTGGCTTTGTGATGTGACATGTCCTGGCTGTTACTCTGGATACCGCATTTGCTCATCTTTTTAACATTTGTAGTGTGCATGAAGGACAGGAACAGCACAGAAGTCGTAAGAAATCTTGAATTCTGAGCTGCGAGTGTACTCAGAAGTCCTTTGTTCTGGAGTCAAAAGAACCCTTGCCTGCCTTCCACTTTGGGTTTAATGCTTTCGAAGTAGTTGCCCAGATACCAACAAAATCTTATGTAGCCTCCATGCCTGTAACAATACTTCATTCAGATTGCTGCAGGCATTAGCTAAGCAGGCTAGGGCTGAGATGATTTTAGATACCAGACTTCCAAGGAAAATCCCAGATACCAAAACTGATGACCCAGTAGAAGGCAGCCTTTCTGATGGGGCAGCATGCTGCTGAAAGTGCCATTTGTATGATGAGACATTGGCCTTGAGGAGCCCTGACCACTCATGGTCATTAAAGATAGTACAGCACTTTTCATTAGAAAAGGGGCATTGATGTAACGCATTAGCAAAGCATGTGCCACATCCCTCTCTACTAACCAGTCTGCTGGAGGATAACAGCCCACTACCACCTAACGGTCCTCAGCTCAGTTGGCAGAAATCTGTGCTGGGAGGCCAAAAGTTCTGACTTCAAGTCCCCTGTGCTGGTATCGTTACATTAGTTCAAGTATGCTAGTCACATTCCAATATATGTAATGGCATTTTACTCACTGCCCATTGCTTCATTTGGATAAAATAATTGTGTGTGTGTGTGGGCAGGGGGAGCGTTTAGTGTCAGGGAAGCATGCACTAGACAAGTGCCTAGATGTTGACCAAAATTGCTACAGGATGTAAACCTGACCATTTTCTGATTATAATTCTGCCACATTGTCATACTCTAGAATTAACAGAGTCCTAAATTAATCCTCCCTCCTCTTAGACTCTTAAAACCTATTAACACAGCTTGATTTTTAATTAAATTTTTGTGTGTTAACTTTTTTTGGCGTGTAACTTTCTGCCTGCTTTCATGTCTCCTCTGCTAGAGGGTCACAACTTTCATTGTGCAGCTGAAAACCATGAATGAATCACTGCCACGCGTACATTTAAACTTTACCTGAAGTCTCCATCAGGAGTCTGGGAGATGATCAGAAGTGCTGAGCACTCACAACTCCAGGTGAAGTCAATGGGAGCTGCATGTGCTGAGCTCCGCAAAAACCCAGGCCATTAGTTATCATCATTTAGACCTTACATGGAGGGGGGAAGATCCATGCTAGTACCTATCTTTAAAAAGGGAATCAAAAAACACTTGGGGAATTATAGACCAGTCAGCCCAACTCCAATATGTGGAAAGTTACTGGAACAAACTGTTAAACAATAAACTGGTAAGCACCTCCAGAGAATAATAGGGTGATAAGTAATAAGCCAACATGGATGTAAAAAACAAATAATGTCAAATCACTCTAATTTCCTTCTTTGACAGGACAACTGGCCTACTGGATAGGGGAGAAGCAGTAGACCTGATATATCTGGATGTTTGAAAGGCTTTTGACACATCATATTTATGTGATTTTCTTTTGAGACTGTCATGTGGGGTGTAGATTAAATTACGAAAATTACTATAATTTTAACTCATTGAAAAACCATACTCAAATGGCTTGGTGTTAAACTGGGAGAACACATCTAGTGGAGTCCTGCAGGGGTCAGTCCTGGGTATGGTACTAGTCAATATTTTCATTAATGATTTGGCTAATGGAGTGGAGAGTATGCCTATAAAATTTGCAACTGACACCAAGCTGGGAGAGGTTGCACACACTTTGGAGGACAGGATTAGAATTCAAAATGACCTTGCCAAGTTAGAGAATTGGTCTGAAATCAACAAGATGAAAGTCAATAAAGACAAGTGCAAAGTACTACACCCAGGAAGGAAAAATCAAATGCACATCTACAATTTGGGTAATAACTGGCTAGGTGGTAGTACTGCTCAAAAGGACCTGGGGTTATAGGAGATCACAACTTAAATATGAGTCAACAATGCGATAAGGTTACAAAAATTACTAATATCATTCTGGGGTATATCAATAGCAGCATTGGGTGTCAGATACAGGAGGTAATTGTCCCACTCTATTCAGCAGTGGTAAGGCCTCAGCTGGAATCCTGCTTTCAGTTTTGGGTGCCACACTTTAAGAAAGCTGTGGACAAATTGGAAAGATTCCAGAGGAGAGCAACAAAAATGATAAAAGTTTTAGCAAACCTGGCCTATGACGAAAGGTTAAAAAAACTTGGCATGTTTAACCTTGAGATAAGAAGACTGAGGGGGGGACCTGATAACAGTCTTCAAATCTGTTAAGGGCTGTTATAAAGAGGAAGGGGATCAATTGTTCTCCATGTTCACTGAAAGCTGGACAAGAAGTAATGGGCTTAATCTGCAGTAAAGGAGACTGAGGTTTGATATTAACGTAACCCAGGCTAATGGAGCTGATGAAAAAGAGAGCCAAGTTTGCTGCTGGGTAGAGAGATGGGGAAGACGGCAGTGTTTACCTTGCCAAAGATGTTGAGCCTTGTGATTGGGCAAACCCTGGGGGGATGGAAGGCTGACTAAGCCAATCAGAGGAATGGGATGAGAAGAGGCCAGCTCTGCCTGAGAGGAGTGTGGGCTATCCAGCACTTTCAACAAGTGTTCTTAATGCTCTTCCAAAGTGTGACCAAACACTATCAAGGCATCCAGATACACCAGAACAGCCAGAAGATTCATGCAACTGTCTGCTTCATTAATCTCTGGAATGTGGCCGGGGCCCCCCAGATATTCCCTGGGGCAGTCTCAGAAATTTGTAGAATCCAAGTGGACAGATGAAGGATGCCTTCATCATATCAACTGGTCCCATGGGTATCTGCTTCTCAGATCCAAAATAGAAAACCAACAGCTTCCTGTTAGGCAATCTAAGGCTTCATCCACTTTTGGGGTGGATTGGTCAGGGATTGTACACCTGTTCAAAGTATGATAATATATGCACTTGCATACATCTTCATTCTTTTTTATGGCCACAACAATTGGGGAGGCATAAGAACTTCCAGAGTTCCTGATGATTCCTGTGGTCTTCAACTCCTGGATATGTTTCCGAACATCTTCAACATATGATAGCCTCCTCGATCTTTCTTGGAAAGGCCCATCATTCAGCCAGATGTGGTGTTCAAATCCCTTGCCACAACCCACATCCCACTCCCAAGCAGAGAACACTTGGGCTCATTGCACTAGTTTTCATCTCTCTTTCCACACTGGAAGAATAGGGGAGTTCCCAAAGTTCAACTTATATGGGTGTAATCTTCCTGCTGGGGGCCATATGGGCCACAGTTGCAGCCAAGTATATCTGTACAACACATTTTCCTGAGGGATAGTGATTGGCTACTCAGTTTCATTAGCCACCAGCAGCTTTATTGACACTTTTGTACGAGATGAGGTTTTGGCTATACCCTTCGTCACCATCAATCCACCCAGCAGTGCATCTGTATCTGGGGCTTCAACCAGGATTAACTGATTGTTGGCCTTCTGATCCACTTGAGCAATTTCATCCACTACATGGGTTGTCCTTGCAGGAATAATAACTGGAGGCCTACATCTTAGTTTGACCATTCCCACCAATCCTCAAGTCCACACTGGTCTCACTCTCCTTCTTTAGCTTGATATGCTTCTGAACGTAGTGCATGGATATTCAGGCTGTGTGTGCACTTAAGTCCAGCAAAGATTTTGCATAGCTGAGCCAAAGCTCCAAACATGGCTGCATTTGTTCCTACAATTCAAGGCACCTGGTTTGGATGCCCAGTGGATTGACCAAAGCAATCTCTGCGTCTCTCTCTTTCTCAATTCCAACCACATCCTTTGAGACTTTAATTTCACTGGCACATATTCCAGTTATGGGTACTGGTCATCTCCTAACCCCCAACCCAGTTAGAGGTTGCAGGAGCAGATGTTGCTGTAACAATGCGGCCTCTGGCAGGGCATTACTGCGAGTATCAGTTCAGGACAAATTGCTTAGAGCAGGGCAGTTACAGCCCAAAGCTTTAGTTCCTTTACTATTAAGGCACGCCAAACCAACCAAAACAGAGAGGATTTCGGTTTTACCCCACTGGCTAACCATAAGTTAGCAATTCCCTCAGATACTCCAGTTCCCTTTTATCACCCCCAGCACCGCTCCTTATAGGGATGAATGGTTATGAAAACCAACACCGCAGTAAAAAAAAAGGTGCTCCCGATCCCAAAGGACCAAACCCCAGAGGTCAATATACCAGTCAGATCTTACCCACAAATCACGCTGTTGCCAATCCTTTAGAATCTAAAATCTAAAGCTTTATTCATAACAAGAAGAAATATAGATGAGAGCTAAAATTGGTTAAACGGAATCAATTACATACAGTAATGGCAAAGTTCTTGGTTCAGGCTTGTAGCAGTGATGGAATAAACTGCAGGTTCAAATTAAGTCTCTGGAGTACATCCCCAGCTTGGATGGGTCATTCAGTCTTTTGTTCAGAGCTTCAGTGTAGCAAAGTTCCTCCAGAGGTAAGAAGCAGGACTGAAGACAAGATGGAGGCGATGCAGCTGCCTTTTATAGTCCTTTTGCCATGTGGCTTATGCTTCCTTTGAGTCCAAACACAAGCTACCCAGCACATGGCATGGAAAAACCTTAGAGTTCTGTCCATAGGCATGTCCCTGCATGTCTTCCTGAGTCTGTATCTGCTTTCTCTCAATGGGTCAGTTGTATAGCTGATGGACCATCAAGCAGGCTTGTCAGTTCTGATGCCAAATTGTCTGGGGTGTCACATAAAAGCGTAGCACAAGTTTGAAATACAGACAGTACAGAGCCAATACTTATAACTTTAAATACAAAAATGTTACATGTTTACAGATAGCATAATCATAACCAGCAAACCACAACCTTTTCATAGACACTTTACTTGACCTCCTTTGTACAAGATTTGGTGCCACTATATGACCTTGGTTGCAACAATGATCTATACGGTCACCGTTCATGTCAATAACATCACAGTCACCATGAAAAGGATTCAAAGATTATAGTGACCAGAGCGCCACTATCTAGAACAACTGTACACTCTCTTCCCTCAATAGTCACTTCAACCTGAGACTTTGGTCCAGCCATTTCTACAGGCAAGCCAGACACAGCTGGAGGCAAAGATTCAGCCTTCACATCTTCGAGTGGAAGGGAGCAAAGGTGGTTACGGGACCCAGGGTGCTCCCTTACCTGGCCCCTCTAATGTTTCCCACTATCTTATTGACATAGAGGGCCATAAATTGTTCCTCAGTTCTCCCAGAATTTACAGATTTAGAACATCCTCATGGGCAGTGCCCATCTTCTCCACTCTAATAACAGAAACATGGGCTCCAAGAGGCAGGGATTCCACCAAGCTCTATCATTTTCTTGACCCCTGCCTCTCTAGTATAGCTGTCCAACTCGCATTTGTCTGGGAGTCGAGATACTCCACCTCTTGTCATTTGTTGGGGAAGACACTCCTGAGTGCTGTTTCACTGTCAATACTGCTACTTTCTCTTGCAACTCAGCGATCTGTTTCATCATATGGTTACTTTCAGGAGAGGTGTTACACTGAGTGGCTTCCAAAGTACACACTCATTTCAGTCCCTCAGAAAAGCTTATCTCCAGAGTCCTGAGTTTCCCTCTCCCTGATCTCTTGCCTCAGTTTAGCGAAAGACAGGGATTCCCCCCTCTGTCCTCTATATGCAACTGGAGCAACATGAATCCAGCATGTCTAACACCCTTTAACACTTGCTCCAGTCAGAGGTGATCCAAATCACCCCCTGAAACTCTCCCATAGTGGGTTCTCTGTTGGGGTCATTCTATCCATGCCAGATACTGAGATTGTTCTCTCCTGGCTCCTGATGGGTGGACAGCAATTTTAATATACCATCCTCTCCACTTTCAGTGCTTCTAACCATGCCCTCCAAAGCTGAGAGGTATTCAGCCATAGTTGCCTCTGGGTTACGGACCCAGAGTGACCGGATAGATTCAGCAGTAGGTCCTTGTGGACTTTCCACTACGCTCTTTTGTTTGTCCCTTTTGAAGCAGGTCCATTCCTGTTCCATCTGAACAATCAGACTTCAAATTCTTCCTCCTGTGCAGGGGGTAGGTTTTAGCCCTGCAAAGTTTCTTAGTCTCTGATGGCTGCCAGTTCCAGTTTCCAGGCCTGCCATTTGTCCCATGGCCTGGGTAAAGGCCTTCAGGAATGAATCTTCTGTCAGAGGGTGAGAAGATGGGGCAGGAGGACTATACACTGCCCTCAAATTGTCTTCCTTCTTTCCTGTTCTCTGGATCAAATGTTGAATTTCTCTTTGAAAATCAGATGTCTCATGTGGTGGTATCAAACCTCATGGACCCAGAACAGAAGGCATCCCATCTCTCTTCTTCCTCTCAATAGGTTTTGCTGAGGAAGGTGACCTTTCCCAAGGCCTGTACAATCTGTGCTCTGGAGATACTCTTGCTAAAGCCTCCCACCACCACAGCCTATTGTGGATCTACTTCATCCCCTTCACACAACTCTAGGACCTGTCCTCTAGCCATGCCGACTAACAGCGGGGATGTTATGGGCCACCACTTGTAACACCGATGCCCCTATGAGGAATTCAACTGGAAAATCTCTGAAGTTCAGGACACACTTCCCCTCCCAGGGGGAGTATGTAAGCCATGCCTGCTCAGGTGTGGCACTTTGTCCCCCTCCAGTGGTGGCTACGCCAGCTAGAGAAGCATATCTTTTAGCTCAGACAGTAGAGACTCATGCATTAAGATCAAGAGGTTCCAGGGATGTTGGCGTTACATTAGGAAAAACTTTCTAACTCTAAGGATAGTTAAGCGCTAGAATAGGTTGCCAAGGGAAGTTTTGGAATCCCCATCCTTTAAGGTTTTTGGAACAGATTAGCCAAACACCTGTCAGGGATGGGCTAGGTATATTTGGTCCTGCCTCAGCACTGGAAGAAGGACTAGATGACACTTGAGGTCTTTTCCAGCCCCACATTTCTATGATTCTGTTTTAATTTTACAGGCAACAAGAAAAGACAATTTGCATGGGGAAAGCAATCAACTTGTATAATTAAAGCAGCAAATCATATAAAGGAAACACTGAAAGGCCCTTTTAGATCATCTTGTCCCTTCGTGTCAGTACAGGATTGCACCTTGCGGTATATTTTCCAGTGCTCTGTCCAGTCATAAATGCCTCAAACAATGGAACTTCCACCATTTCCCATGAAAGACAATTGCAGAGTCTAATAAACCTTATTGTGAGGAAATATTTCCTGCTAGTGAGCCTGGCCTTTTCTTTACTCCGGTTCATCCCATTTCTCCTAGTTAATTCCCTTCAGGAATGTACAAACAAATGTATTCTCCTACACTCACCCCATCAGCTATGGTTTACTCAAGCCATATATATTAGGTTCTTTAAACATTTGTTCATGAGTCATTCTCTGCAACCCCTTAATCATTTAGGACAGTCTGCTCAAATTTCTTTTAGGGACTGAAGTGCCCCAAGCTGTATTGAGTGTCTTAGGTGAAGTCTCCACCATGTCACATAGAAATAGAAGCTAAAAGGCCATATAAGACAAGATGATATAAGAACATTAAGAATGGGATCATTTACTTTGCTCCAACAGAAGTTTTACTGAATGGTAAATTTCTCATGGACTTCAATGGGACTCTAGTTAAGCTAATATTAGACATTTGTTAGAAGCCCACACTAAACCCTTATCTTTCCAAATAGAAGTTATCTTTACAGCTGCTTGCTGGCTTCTATATCCTATTGTGCTGAGTCCTCGCTAACCCTTGCACATGTAAACACTCAGAGCAGGCCTCGCAGACACCAAGGGAATTACCAGATGCTGACAATGGTTGTCATTAACTCCCAAGACCTCACTTTAAACTGGTGTTGAACTCAGGTTAGCTGTTGCTGTGGACAGGACAGGACAGTTCTCTGCACCCTTCCGGGAGCATTGTAGAAATGTTGGTCCATCAGGGTTCAGTGCTGCTCCCTGAAGGGGTGATAAAAATAGTTTTGCTGCCAGAATGGCCAGGAATCTATTTCTTGTGTGGTTATGGGAAGTGTGGATGAGACCTGGAGGAACATGGTGTCCTCCCTCATGCTTTCTGTAAGGTGCTGAAATGGTTTTGTCCCACCTGCACTAGCAGCTCAATTGTTTTCAACATCACTTGAGAAAGGGCCATGGGGCACCCATTGCTAACAACCACTCTCAGCACTGGGTCACTTTATTAGTGCAAATGGGGCCTTGCTGCTTTACCAGCTCCACACCTGAGGCCCTCCTTTGCTAAGCTGAAGATGTCAGCCCACATAAGTAGCTCTTGATCATCACCTATTGAGTAATGCCAGATACACTCATCCTGCCACCAACCACTGATCAAGCTGCCTCTAAAATGGATCGCAGGGCACATCCCTTGCTTACCTGGACCATGACAGAGACATTGGAGTACAAGCTGGACAGGGATAACATCACATCTCAGAACCCAGATGGCGTGAGGCAAAGTCTTAGACTTACAAATGCACTTAAAAACAAACCCAGGACCTACAGGAATCTGAGTTTTACTATGGAAGAACATGAGAGCAGGATTTGACCCTTAAAGCTGAGATAATCCCATAATTTCCAATGCTCTACTTGTCCAATTGTGTAATAAATAATTTAAAAGCCCACATTAAACTTTGCTTCTGAGCTTTCTTACCTTTCCATTTGTTTGTTGCAATCACTATGCTAAGAATATAACCCAAGGAAATGTCAGCAATCATTAACACAAAGATGTAATCCAAGACCAAAAAAAGCTTTGCCTAGAGAATTCATTACTTGAAAAAGAACTAAACATAGTATCTGAACAGTCAGTTATACCAATGCTAATAGATAAAAATAAGTTCATGTTCATAGAAGGTGCCAGGTGGGTATCTCCTTTAAAGGCCAGGAACACAATGTGTATGTCTGTACTGCTATGTAGTGGTGTTCTCTAGAATTATTTATTCTGATGAGTAGGTGCCTTTAATGGAAACCAATACAAAGAGAGAAAACAGCCCTTTGAGGCAGTAGGAAGCAAGATTCACAATGAGCAGAGGAGTCTGGGTGCAAGCTCAGATATCATGGAAAAGCCACCCAGATACTCAGGGATGAGAACACTATAAGGCTAGGGTCCTCGCCCAGCTTTCACTGAAAGTCAATGGGATCTGGGAGCTTCACTCCTTTAAGATCCTTTGCAAATCCCTGCCTTGCTGCCTAGACAGAATAGGCCTTGCACTGCTCCCCAGTACATTTGACCTTTTAATTGAGCAATTGCACATTATGGGTGAAATTCACCAGCATGCAGAGGGCCCGCCCTGGGCCTACACACCACTACAGTTCTATTCTGAGAGATTAAGGGGGATTTAAATCGTTCAGAGCTGGCAGCTACCTTGGCTGACACCAGGCATGGAACGAGGGATGTCTAGTGGTAAAAGCATGGGCCTGTGCACCTTGAGTTAAAGAGCCGGGCTCTAGCCCTGAGAGCCATAGTAGACTCATTTCCTGTGTAGATCAGACGAAGCAGCCAAGGAACACAACATGCTGACCAGGAGGCCCTCCGCACAGGGATGAATTTCACCCAAAACGAATTTCCTTAGGGCAGATGTTGAAACCCATGGCATGATTCCCAAGGATGCTCTTCAGAGACTGTTCCTCTTTCGGTTTCTGAGCCCTGCCCTGGTCTAGAGCCCTGCCCAGCTCTAAAACTGGCTTTGAGAAATCAGCGATTGCAAAACTCAGGGATTGAATGAAGCATGGCCTTTTAAACGAAAGCTGAGTCCATTGCTCAACGCAGCTCTCTCAGTTCACATGGCGAGAAGCCTGTCTCGCCCATGCACAAACTGTCTGCCACATTTCCAGTTAAATAAAAGGTTTTAATTAAAACAGGTCCCAGTGAGTCTCCTTGTTGGCAGCACATGGGTTGCTCAAAAGTGCCATGAAGCATGAATTAGCAGAGCAAGAGCCATAGTGTCAGAGCTAACACACCAGTTCCACCCTGGCTTTAATAAAAGGGTTAACAATCTGACACCACTTTAGTGGAAGGAAACAGCTCAACTGCCTTCCGGTATCCCTTGCTGTACGGCAGTTATGAGCAGTAAGGTGGGAGGGAGGAGAGAGGGAGACAATCCTGAAAGGAAGGAGCCTGGCACACAATAATGCAGGCAGCAGCTTCTCTCAGATGATCATTTGGTTGGATGTCAGTCAGCTGGAGTACAGTTACATTCAGAGTATTCCCCCTCCTCCAGAGCGCGCTCTACATCCCTGCCATGTAATCAAGCTATTTTTTTTGGGGGGGGGGGGGTATCTTTCAACTAAACAAAGACTAGCATGAAAAGGAAGTGAGCTTTCTCTAAAAGGCAATGGGATTCGGCTCTGATTTCTCTGGGCAAGTTAGGTCAGCCAAATACAAGTCTTTACCAATTTATTTATTTAAGATACATACTGCATGCTGATAACATTTGAAGAAATCATCCAGCTAATTAGTGTTGAAGTGCAATAAATCTCCTACACCTGTACTTTTGGCATCCCTGTTAATAGCTGATTAGGTTAGCATTTTAGTACTATAATTACAAAATTAATTAACAGTGATTAACTTGTCATTTTAAAGAGTTACCCTGACAATTTATCATGCGCTCCACAAACTTGAGAGAATTAGACTTTCACCACATGCAAACTATAATAAGTGCAATATTGATGGACAGGTCTTTGCTGGCTTATTTCTATGTATAGGTCACACAGCAGTCTCTTATAAAGTTCAAGCTATTAAATAAATGTGGGTATGAAATTGACACAGTTGATACACAACCTTAGGGGTATTTTCTCTGAAGGGCAGCTTTCAACACAAAAGTTGCAATCTCTTTTTTTATTCAAAAGAAATGCGGAAGTAGACAGTGGAAATTTAGAAATCCATAAAACACCATCTGATATATTTCACTAGGAAGCAGCTTTCCTTTCTCTGTATCTACAAAATGGAAATCCCGCATAAGATTTCTTAAACATAATTTCACTGTATCTACTGAGAAAACTACGCTACAACAATCACTAGCTTGTTGTGAGGAGACAGACAAAGAACAGAGAATGGTGTTTGAAGGCCATATGTAAAATTTAAAGAAAAAGTCCTCATATATTACAAAAAGGTAGAATTGAGAGAGTGTCTGAAAAAATGTGATTTTTTTTTCTCCTGCAGGCCCCACTTGCTACTAGTATACAGTAGCACAGGGGTGGCCAACCTGAGCCTGAGAAGGAGCCAGAATTTACCAAACAGCCACAGTAATAAGTCAGCAGCCCCTCCATCAGCTCCCCAGCCCCGCCAATCAGCGCCTCCCCCTCCCTCCCAATCAGCTGTTTCATAGCATGCAGGAGGCTCGGAGGGGGAGTGGGAGGAGCGAGGTCACGGCAGACTCACAGGAGGGAAAAGGTGGAGTGGGGCAGGCCTGTGGCAGAGCCAGGGGTTGAGCACTCCCTGACACATTGGCAGCGGTCGCTCCAGCCCCGGAGTTGGTGCCTATACAAGGAGCCACATATTAGCTTCTGAGGAGCCGCATGTGGCTCCGGAGCCACAGGTTGGCCACCCCTGCAATAGAATAAAATTGTATGGCACAATTCTTGCTTTGAGCCTGCTGACTTGCATATGAACTAGATCATGTCTTTTAGACAGACATCCTATCTTGATTTAAATGATGGGGAATCCATTACAGTCCTTAGTAAACTATTCCAATGGTAAACCTGAGAATATCACCACTCTGCAGGCTGGCTATACGGAAGATTTTCAAATCCTGTAATCATTATTACTCTTCTCTGAACCCTCTCCAATTTCTCAGCATTCCTTCTTGAACTGTATATACCAGAACTGGACGCAGTATTCCAGCAGTGGTCACACAGTGCCAAATACAGAGGTAAAATAACCTCTCTACTCCTAAGGAAATGTCAGGCCCTTTGATCAGTATCACACCGGGTGCTCATTTGCAGTTGAGCATCCACATCACCATCCCAATTTTTTCAGAATCACTGCTTCCCAGGATAGAGTACCCCCTTCCAGTAAGTATGGCCTATGTTCTTTGTTCCTAGATATATACATTTAGCCATATTAAAATGCATACTGTTTGCTTGTGTGAGCTTACCAAGCAATCCAGATCGCTCTGTCTCTGTGACCTGTCCTCTTCATTATGCCTCACCCCCAATTAGTCACTTGCAAGCCTGATCAATAATTATTTTATGTTTTTCTTCACCCCGTCATTAATAAAAGCATTAAATAGCATCGTGCCAAGAACTGATGGTTACCGGACCCCACTAGAAACACACCTGTTTGAGGATGATTTCACACTTACAGTTACCTTTTGAAACCAATTGAGTAGCTAGCTTTTAATCCATTTCTTATCTTTTTAGTTTTCAATCAAAACATCATGCAGCACCATAACAAAGTCTTATAGAAGTCTATTACATCGACACTGTTTATTAACCAAACTTGTAATCTCAAAGCAGGATATCAAATTAGTTTGACATTTACCATAAACTCATGTTGATCAGCATTAGTTACATTACCCTCCTTTAACTCTTGATTAATGAAGTCCCATATCGGCAGCTCCATTATCTTACCTGCATCTATGTCAGACTGACAGGCCTATAATTACCTGAATCATCTCATATACCCTTTTTAAACATTGGCAGAACATTAGGGAAATTCCAGAAGACTGGAAGAAAGCTAGAGTTCCAAGACTTTCTGGAAATCAGTGTTCATGGTCCAGAGAGCTCTTAAGCCAGCTCTTTTAAAACTCTGGTGCAAGTTATCCAGACCTGCTGATTTAAAGATGTGCAACTTTAGTAGTTGCTGTTTAACATCCTCGGAGATATTAGTGGAGAAAATAGAATAGAGAACAGGTTTGTTAAAAAAATTGAAGGCCTTTAACTCAGAACTGGATTTGCTACAAAGCATTTTTTTTTTATGGGGTGCTCCTTAAATCAATCCAGAAACTCAAGCAGGTGCAATCTGTAGTGGGTTGTTAAGCAGTGCTTCACTCTGGAAGAAAAAGACTCTTGAGCTTCAGGATCTGCATGGGCTGCCTATTGGTTTCAGGATGATTTAAGGGGCTGATTTTAGTCTAAAGAGCCTAGGACCTTCCTATTTGGCAACGTCTACACTGGGAAAATGCATTGGTTAGAGAACAACGTTAGCGCAAATGTGAAACATGACTTAGCATCTAGAGTAGACAGAAGCAAGCCATGTTTAAAAGTGTTTTGTGGTCATGGCTGTGATCAGGAGAGGCACTTGAGTGGAATCCCCCTAGATTTAAAAGTGAGGGGACAGCATTCCCCGCCGGTATGAAATAGCCAGTCCACTAGCCTTCAGGACAATCTTCAGCATTCTTCTACTTGTTGAGCCTGATGCAGAGAAAGGAGCATGATGGGGTTGGGCATGTGTGAGGGTGGGGAGTTCCATAGGGGTGAGGTTTGTTGGCAATTGTGGGAGTTTTCTTGTTCTTGCAATGTGTGTCAAGGGTGCAAAGGGGAATAGGGAGGTGCTGCTTTTTATATTTGTATAAATATTTGTAGAAACTGAAAACAAACCTGCAATTAAAAGTTTTACTTATTTCCTTGGCATCAGAAGAACTTTTATTAGGAAACAACAACAACATACATACATAATTTATCTATTATACAATTCTCCTCAATGCTTTTGACAGTTAATCTACTTCCAACAAACATTTCTCCTTAATACAACTTATTTTCTCCTGCTGTGAAATCAATATGAAAACTAAACTATTTTCATCTGCCAAGAGCGGTAATCTATACTGCACCCATCCCTGGGCACCTGACCTGTAAACCGTGACTTGACAATTACTCCTGTGTCATAGCAATGGATTAAGGTTAGAAGCAAAAGATACAATTTCCCTGCAAGATTCCGTAGAAGCTGGGTTTTCAGGACAAAAGCTATACTGATACTTATGAATACACTAACATCTGAATCTAGGCAGGAGAGCCAGGGTGGACTTGTAGGTAGAACCTGGGAGTCAGAAGCCCTGGCTCTGATGCTAATTAACCCTTGCTGTGCCTTCCTGTGTGAATCAACCTTTCTGTGCCATAATGAAATACCATAATGTCCAATATCCCTGGGAAGTAGGTGGACTCAATATACAAGTGCTTTGAGATACTGGGATATTTATAAATGCTAAGTATAATATTGAGGGCACAGATATTGTTTGAATCCTCTTCATTTGTGTCGTTCCTATGCAAGACCTTCATCCAATGTGCAAATGAAACTTCTGTACATTAGCAAAGAAAGGAGTACCAGGATATCACAATGGCAAATGATGATAACATATGGGTCAGACCAATAGTCCATCTAGCTCAGTATCCTGTCTTCCACCAGTGACCAGTGCCAGATGCTTCAGAGGGCATGAACAGGAGGGGACAATTATTGAGTGATCCATCCCACTGACTAGTCCCAGCACCTGGCAGTCAGAAGCATACGGACACCCAGAGCATGGGATTGCCTCCCTGACTATCTTGGTTAGTTAGCCATTGATGGACCTATCCTCCATGAACTTCTCATTCCTTTTTGAAAACAGTTACTTTTGGCTGTCACAACAGGTTCCACAGGTTGACTCTGCATTGTGTGAAGTACTTCTTTATGTTTTTTTAAACCTGTTGCCTATGAATTTCATTGACTGTCTGTTGATTACCTGTTACAGAAGGCCAAGATGAAAGGCCTGAGCTGTATAAAGAAATGGGTGATCAGCCTTTGTTCAGGTTCTGAATTTAAGGCAGATAAACTTGTAACCACAGGGAAAACCCAGTTGTGGGTTTTGAAGGTGCACCTCAGTCCCTCCTATTCTCTCTCTGTAGCACATAATAGTCTAGTCTCCTGTAGGCTGTAATACTTTGGCCACATTTTGGTTTTTGGGTTTAGTGTGCGGGTGCTGGGTGGTGTCCTGTGATATACAGGAGGTCAGACTAGATGATCTAGTGGTTCCTTCTAGTCTTACACTCCAGGACTATGACTCTGCACTAAAATCTACAGAACCCTAGGCTGAAGTTGGGGGTGACCTGTTTGCAATAAGGTAATATATCTTACACTGGGAATGTCTTATGTTGTACAGTGCTCAAAGCGCTTTGATGCATGTGTATAATGCTTTGAAAACAGAAATTGTGTTCTTTAATGTACCCAGCCCCCATCATAATGTCTGGCCCTTCTGGCTGTTGCTGGGTGCTATTTCATATGTATATTTCTCCAACATCAAGAGGAGCTCCCAGGATGAACAGACTGTCAGTCTATTTCTATTTCTATTTGTCAGTCATAATAATTGAGGCTCTGAATACAGTAGTTTGAAAAAAGTCTAGTTTATTGCACTCTCTCAAAGCACAACAAAAATAAAACAAAATCAAAAGTACCGAAATAAAGGAAAGTAAGGAGGTTAAAAGTGTTTCAAATTACCACCTGGGTTCAGGTGGTAATTTGAAAAAAAAATTACACAAAAAAGTCCCAACAATTTAGAAGGGCTTTTAACACCAATTAATATTAATGAACAAAGCAAAGTACAGTATTATGTGGTGTACAAACAGCGAGCAAGCTTGAGCCATTACCAAGACGACCTGTTAAAAGTGTAAAAGTGTCAGTATTAAATAAGACCGTTGTATCTGAGCATCTGGTCCTTGACAAGGAGTGGGGAAGATGTCTTGTCCCTCCTCTGAACTGCCTGACTTGGGAGCTGCCACAAGATACTTTTAAACTGAATTTCCACTTGCCAAAGGGTTCTCCAAACATGCTTGTATAAAACAAACTATCTTCAGAAGCTGAATCCACTACAGTGCAGTGCCCGGCAGACTAAAAAAATAAACTCGGTGGCAGTCTCCATATACAGATGAGAAAGAAATCAAAACAGATCAGCTGTCAAAGGGAAACAAATCTGACCTCTCCCCAATCACCCCCGATTTAAAAATCAGACAAACCAAGTCAATAATACACATGCTATATTTAAAAAAAGTGAACCAAGTTAGTTCTCTCTCTACAGTCAGATTTACATTTAAACCTTTCACTGTGTCTATTCCAAACCAAGTGCAGAATGAGCAAGAGCTATTTTGAAAGAGAGCAGAGGTTAAAAGGAAACATGTCTTTTTCTATGCATTGACTCCCAGGTTCACAATACTGAATTCTCTCTCCACATCTCCTGAAGCTGGCTCATTTACAGCATTGGTTAGCAGCTGTTTAAACATTCTGATGATGTATGAGTTTAGAATGAACACAAAAAAAATTCTTCTGCTTACATCAGTGAACTCAAGTTCTTTTCATCTACAATTCTAGTCTTTAAAAATGAGGTATCCTTTAGAGAACATTTAGAATATAAAGAAAAATAAACAGCACTGATTAATTTATTCAGCACGTTGCCCAGTTCATTAAAAACGTCTGCTGTAACATTTGTTAAGACACTTCAAAATTTAGCTAATGTAGCTAAAAATCACAATATTGTTAAGCACCTCCCCACAATATCACAAACTTTTTATGGGAGATTAGAATTATATATAATTCTATCAATTGCCATATTTTTTTTTAAAACTGTCTGAATTTGGTACTTTAAAAAATGAGTCCACGCCATAAAGCACTGGCTACAGGCACAAATACAGTGCATCAGGTACAAGGAAAGCTGCCTCACACAATCCTGCCAATGTACCAGAAACCAGACCCACAACTTTGCTGCTATTCCAGCCCTGGGCCTCATGGAGCAGAGTCAGTCAGTTTCTTGATGGTATGTGGGGTGGACAAATGTCCACCTGAGATTAGGGCAATTTCAAATGTCTCATCTGTGAATGAAACCAGGTATTGAACCCAAATGTCCAGAGATGGAAGGCTAGTGAAGCATTGGAGATTTTGAAATAAAAATGGTCCAAACAATGTTCATGTTGACACCTGTGCTGTAGAATACATTTTCAGTTCCTATTGGGATCATCTTAAATTCATACGACACGACAGACAGACGGCATTTCTTTAACTGGAGTTTCAAGTACAAGAAGAAATTGAGAAATATTTAATGTTTCTGCTATTGAGAAATATTTAATGTAACTGAAAGCCGTCTCAAAAGAAGTACATATATATTAGTGTGCATGCTGTTGTAAAATATTCACTTTCATTGCTAATAAGGTTAACTTACAATTATATTTCCAAATGAGCTGCTAGGGTAATACAATTTAACAATTTCAGTATGCCACACTTACTGTCTCCCAAGAAATACTGGAACAAACCTATGAATGCACAGTTTGGGGTTATTTGACAGGTCAGTTTTTTAGTAAAAAAAAAAAAGTGCTAATATTGCATGTTAAATACAAGTGGCTTTAAACCCCAACATTCTCTAGGCATGTTACTGGAAATACAAGCATTGCTCTCTTGTTATTCCACCGCTTCACATGCTTGAGTGCCTTCATATCACTTCCCATTCATCTTCAAAATCATCAGGGTGAAGCAAAACAGAAGCGTCACTACTTTTTGCAAGCTATGAGAGTGACTGAATGTTTTCGTGAGGCGCTGAAGGAGGTATCCTGAAGAACCAATCGCCCACAGTTCATCTAGAGGTGTCACTGCCAAGCAAAAGTTATCCAGATTTTAATTAAAGCAGTATGTTCCAGTTGCAAACATTCAAAAAGCAGCGTATATTTCACTAAATTTTTCTAACTGGACCCAGGGAAGATTTTCTTTTTTTCTCTTTTTTTTTTGTTTTTTTTTTGGGGGGGGAGGGTGGGAGGAAGAGAAGAAAGAGTGAAATTATAAACGCTAAATGGATGAAAGAGTCATGGTCAAATAACAAAAACAGCAGCACTTAAAAATAGTATTTATCTTTACTAATTCATTTGAGCACCATCAGGCAGAACACAATAGCTATCATAAGGCCAGTCTGTGAAGGTTTCAGATCATCATGAAGAACTGACTTGCCTGTTAAACAAGACACAGTCCCTGGAATCTTCTTCCAGTAGTCTCCTGCTGGGTTTTTGTCAGTAATGCCATACCGACGTGCTACATCTCCATTTGGACAGCATGCCCAAACAGTTCTTGTACTTATAGCCAGCTGACATGCCTGCAACCCTAAATGGAAACACATGAAGGAAATAACTAAATGCTTTCTTATATGAAACTATGTTACATACCGTTTAATAAGTAAAGCAGGTGAGATTGACGTATTTTTATATAAACCTGTAAATGTCTCATGGGAGACGTCTCTAGCATTAAAGGTACCAAGGCTGCCAAGTTTTCCACATTTCTTTCTTGACCGTCCCCTTGACTTTAAGGCGGTTGCTCAAGCGCGAGGGCAGAATTTGGTCTTAAAGAGTTAAGATGGACATGATAACTTCCTCAATATTATGAAAGTGGGAATAATCTTACGTTCATTTAACTCCCTTTAGTCAAACTGAGCTCAAAGGATTGTGCAGAATAACTATGTGGATGTATATAATTTCCCCCTTCCCTGCACAAGGGCGGATTCCCCCCCCCAGCTCGCCCTCCTCCTGACAAAAATGCAGTCATTTCTGGAGTGGAATGTGGGAACTTCTTAAAAGCACACAGCAACACTACTCAGCCATTTAGGACAGGAGGTCAGGAAGAATACT